GAGAGAGAGAGAGAGAGAGAGAGAAGAGGGTGCACGTAGAAAACTGGTATCGGCACAATGCCATCGGAATACGCTATCCAGCCGCTATTTCAGCTCGAGAAGAGAGGGTAGAGCAAGAAACAGACGCCACCGGAAATCATCATTCTAACCGGGTACGTTTAATCGAAGGGAAAACCGGAATACGCCGCGGGCTGACTGACAACAGGATCAACCTGCTCTGTGGATGTATCGAAGCCAAGATTCCATTCCGGCTCGATTTTTCTACATCGACACGGCGACCGAGTATCCCCACTCCTCCACAACCGACTCTTTTCTTCTACCGCTGATTAATTACACATATTGTTAGACGAGCGTTCTTCTTCTCGATCGTGTAAACGTGGCGCCATTCTGATCGAGATGGGAATGGGAAACGTCGGTAGGGTGATAACGATTTCTTTTTTCTTTTAATATTTTCTCTCTTTCATTTCAACCATTTGATTTTGAATTAATCAATTTATTTTTATCATTAATGGAACAGTTTAATAATTGTACTTAACACATATAAAGTATAGAGATTTCTATTTATTTTTCAAATAAATATTTTATTAATTTTATTTTATTTATATTTTTCTGTTGTTGCTCTCTTTATAATTGGATAGTTAGATACAATTCTACTAAAAATGTCTATGCTAATCACGTAAGTGTGAAGTGATTATTTGAAACATTATGATACAGGAAACGTTGGTAACACTGGTCTACACCGGTCCTATTTGCGCTGCGAACGTCAGAGCGCACCGCAAAATCCATATCCCTAAGTTTCGAGGATACGACACGAGGATATCGTGGCCGGCACGTACACCAGCTGGTCCAACTTCTTGTCCAACGTCGACAGCTGCAACGAAAACGAAAAATCGGAATTGGAATCAGTGAGAGCAAGAACCCCCGACTTCTGGAGGGGATATGTCCGTGGATCATTCGTGGCTCGAAGAGGAAGAGTGCGAGAGAGAGAGAGAGAGAGAGAGAGAGAGAGAGAGAGAGAGAGAGAGAGAGAGAGAGAGAGAGAGAGA